TCCGAAAATGTTGGCTCGTCTCGCGAACTGACGCCTGCTGGAGATCCGTCAAGCATTCCGTCAATTTCCTCGGGTTTTTTTTTTTTTACCTATTTTCTTTGAATTTGTTCTTGTATTTTCTGTCTGAAATCGCAGTAACTTCTATTACATTTATTTGTTTTTCCGTGTCCTTCAGAAGTCTCGATCATTCTCCACTGCTCTGAACTACTTAAGTTCGAACTAATCGCGTCAATAAATACATTTGATCAATCCAATGCTTCTATATATTAATCTCTATATATTTGGATAATTTTATTACTGTGGAAGAGTGTTTGTGCAGCACATTGATATGCCAGATAACAACCCGGACCTTCCGTGGGAGTTCAGCGATGGGAACAAAGAGAAGGTAAGTTATGCTTGCGACTTGATATTATCAATCAGCTTTGATTAGCCATACATGTATCTAGTCTGAACAAATGCATCAAGTCTTTGTAGTCTATGCTTTTGAGTCGATCTTTGTGGTATCTTCTTCACAGAGTTGCAGAGAGAATTTGGTGTGTACTCAATAACCATCTAACTTGTTCTAAATGGCAAGTTCACCTTACTTGGCCATTGATAGACTTCTTGAAAGGAATTTCAATTATCCAAAGGTAGCTCAAGTGGCAACAAAGACATGCTGGATTTAATAGAGACGTGGAAATTTAGACATGTTGAGTTCGAATCTAGATTGACTTCGAATCTTGACAACCACGAGGCTAGTCCCTATTACCGGTGTAGATGGTCAACTTTTGATTGGATTAGGAAGGTAATTAGTCGAGATGTGTGTTAGTTGGTCCGGACACCTTTAAAAAAAGAAATGAATTTCAATTATTTTGACTTTTCAAAATATCACATTTCAACTCATATCCTGTTACCCTACTTCCTAAATTCTTTAGCACCCCCTTCCCACAATTAGGAATACACATAGATTCTATTTTAAATAGCTATGATTGATACTAAGCATTGGTGGATGAATGGAACAACTAATTTTTGATGACTTGTTTTGTGAATCAACCTGTGATTTCCTTTTTAAAGTTATTTCCTTCTTTGGTGGGCCATTATAAGGTCAGAGCTAACCAAACCCTGTCCGAACTTGATCATTTCATTCTGTAATGCACCCTTTCCATCATTTACCATTAAAATATATAAGACTTTGATACTTACATTATTTCAAGGCCAAGCTTTGTGTTTGAGACATCTTCCAAGTATCTGACCAGTTATAAAGTATCAAAACTATCATTAGATACCTAAATTAAACATCCAGTACTTACTTTACTTATGTAGACTGGTCGAATTTGAACTCAGTTGGACCTTTGCAACCTTGCCCGTAGGAAGAGATGCATAACTTTTATTCGTTAGGTATTAGGCTTTGAAAAAAAATATGGTAAATATGATTACGCTTTTATTCTGGGACAAGTTCCATATGCATGTAAACCGATATTGGCTTTATAGTCCCATGATTGCTTTGGGTTAAGAAGCACGAAAACTCTTAAAATGGTGACCATTTGTGTTGGGCACTGTTTTATCCGAAGATCAAATTTTAATATTGGACACGTGACACTCCGTTGGTGACTTGTTCGACAGTTTTTTAGGTCATGTCTACTACTAAAATATAAACATACAAAAATATGTAATTAACAAAGCTTAAAATTTTCATGGATGACTATCTATGTTTGCTACACATTGTCGATAAAATAATTGATGATTAATGATTGGTATCATCCTTAAAAAATTGACTATAGTTGACTGGACATAGGATCTACTTGCCATGAGTATTGTATTTCTTGTGAATAGTTTGATAATTTGAAGACCTCTCTTTCCAGAGTCTGCTGGGTAGATTTAGTTATTTCTCTTGCATTGAATGTGTTTGCCTTTGTGAGTCATTATTGCTTAGCATATTATACTAAATTCCCTCCCCCAGAATGAGTTGATTTAGATTTTGTCATTTTCTGAGTGTAATTTATCCCGACAGCTGTTGTCAAAAGATATTCATCCCCAATTTCCTTGTCATGCTGTAAAGATGATTTTCCTGCAGTCTAGAAAAGGAAGTTCAACTGTAGTTAATTGTTGTGGTTGCATGTCTTATTGAATGGAGCTGCAACTAATTCAACCATAAGCACAATTTTCATCATGATTGGATTACTCACCAATCTAATATCCCCCACGAATTCTAATTTTATCATGGGTTTACTCTATGCATAGGTGAAGGAAATATTATCTCACTATTCATCAAAGTACAAGCAATCTGCAGTCATTCCTCTGCTAGATCTTGCACAACAACAACATCAAGGGTGGCTTCCTGTTTCAGCAATGAATGCTGTATGTTGACATTAACTCATGATTAATTCCTCAAGAATTTTTGACGTGTGTGAAAAGGTTCATACATGTAGCAAGAATGCCATACATATGATTTCATGGATGAGATTGATGTGCTTTGTATATGACACTGAAAAGTTATCTGAGTACTAGAATGTTATCGGTGTGGTTCATGTGACAATGCTTCTCCCATAGTTGAGGTGTAAATCTGATGCTTCTTCCATGGTTGAGGTGTAAATATGATGCTTATTGTTTTGTTTGTTGCTTGTACTTGCCGTGCTGATGCTGGAAAAGAAAATCCAGGTTGCAGTCGTCAAATTGGCATGTAAGAGGACCTGCTGTTCACTTGAGGATAATCTATATGTGATTCACAGTAATTTGGTCCAAATTGGATGTCTCAAAATTATTTTATAGATATGTTGAGCTACAATCGGAGTCCAGTCAATTTCAGTGTTCTCTCTTACAGCCAACCTGCATTTTGCCCACCAGAATGAACTTTTGATGATTTTTGTGAAGATCTAACAAGTGATTCTTATGCTGCTTCCCATAAGGTATTTGCACATCTGTCGGCATTAGTTTTATCCTTGTCTTGATGCATTGGAGATGTCTTGAATTAATTGTCTTTTTTAACTTGTAAGACAACTTTTTAACACACCTATATTATTTCACTGAATATGCATGATGACTAGTTTTGCCATGCACGAATAGAAAGGTTTGAACCTTAAAGTAATCTTTTACTATGTTCAAGAAATCATCAATGAAAGTCAGGAAATTGTGCAATACCCATTCCCCCAAAAAAAAAAAGAATAGAGAAAGGAAATAGTGAAATATTCAATGTTTCCATGTACACTTGATGATCAGTGTGATAGTCAAGCTTTAGTTGCATCCCATTGGTTTACTTATATATTGGCTGATCTTCTGTTGCTGGGTAGGGGTGGGACGGTATAATAGTGAAATATTCAAATCTTATGTCCCTTGTTAGTTTATACTAAGACATTTATTTTTCTGTTTATCTGAGGGTGGCTAAGGTTATAGAAGTTGCTCCTATCCGTGTATACGAGGATGCGACATTCTATTCAATGTTCAACCGATCGAAGTGAAGAAGTGTCTAATGTGTGTGTGTATATATATATATAGCCAATGTATGACAGTTGATTTGGCATATAAGTCCTCTTATTGCAGGTTGGAAAGTACCACCTATTGGTTTGTGGCACAATGCCTTGTATAATACGTGGCTCAAGGGAAATTGAAGATGCACTACTAAAGCACTTAGGAGTGAAGTGCAGTGGTATGCCTTGACCAACACATTCATAGTCTTTTCATCAATTTTGTTAGTGGATGTAAATTCCATGCTGAATTAATGTCTTTTGCCCGCAATTTACAGAAGTAACAAAGGATGGCTTGTTTTCTGACTAGATTGGCCCCCTTTATTTATAAAAGATCTTTAAGACCTGTTGGCTTGTCTAGTGCTGAGAATTGAGATGGCAATAGAAGGAAAAAAAAGACCGTGATTATCTTCATCCATTTTACTTCATTTACAATTTTAGACATGACAAATATGTATGCAACTGGTATGGCTTCCCTCCATTTGTTGCCCATCTTTTGATAGATCGCTCTACCATGGAATTTCATATAGCATTAATACGTGTATTGAGAAGCTTTTCACCATTTTGAGATTGTTTGACTGGTTGCAAACAAACTTATTCTCAATGAACAATGCCCTTTGCAATTTATCTTCTTGGTTACAGGGATGTTGTATAAATGCCCCTATGATAACAGTAGTTGATTACTCCGATGGATCTGAAGGATATACCTACAATTACGATGTGAGTACTTTAATACCCCTTATATTTTGTACAATTTAGTGCTTTTCACATCAAATCAGCCAGCTTTTTGGAACTTATATCGGTAAGGCAAATGGACGGGTGATATGGAATATATACGTGCCTTGTTTGATTTACACTTTACATTTGCAGCGTGGCACCCAGAACCCAAAGCACATCAATTCCGGTCCAGAAGGAGGGAATACTACATTGTTAGGCGAGCCAAAGGCTCCTCCATGTCGGGATCTGGATGCATGCTGAAGTTCAATTTCAGCAGCGGTATCTCTAATAACGTGAAGCTCGAACTAACAAGCATCCATGGGCCGTAAGCTATTGTTAATCCTGATCAGTCCTCAATGTTTTTCTTCTTTTTTTCTGCATTTTTTTTTTTTTGGCTGCCAGTGCGGGTGCTGGTGGATTTGGTTTTTTCATTTAAGCTCATCTCCTCCAAAGTTGTCAGTTACTAATGTAAATTGCATCACCAGAAGCTAGCAGTTGACATCATGAACTCTCTGATTAAACTGAATATGGTAGTGTCATAAACACTTCTGAGTTCTGAGCCTCAACAGTAAGATGAACCAAGATCGCTACTACACGTACACTGGTAAATCTTGAGGTCAGAAAAACTGTAAAAATTGTACAAGAGAAGATTACACTTCAGAATGACTTGCCGTCTCACCTGACCTGTGTCCAATGATTTCTCTCCTCCAATTATGATTGAGAGCTGAAGAAGTCAAATCTCCTTTTTGGAAATCAAATGCACTAACCAACCCATTATTGAGGCAAAGTGATAACAATTGATTTCTCCTGCACTACTGAGTCCAGCTTTTTAGGATAGCTAACCATTATCCATTCTAACTCTGCATTCCAAATGCTCTAAAATACATTAAAATCACAAGCAATGTTATTAAAACTAATTTGGAGACGTAATACACTCTCATCATTGGATTGATAGTGTCTCTAAACATTAGATTGAATCCCCAGCCAATCCAATGACACCAACATATTAAAACTCCAAATTAGGTTCCTAAATTCAATACAAATACTATAATCAAAATTACATAAATATATACAAGGCCACCCCTTTTAAATTTTAAAGACCCCACATCCCACTACACCCCAACTACAGAAGTGCTTCCATCATGAAGCACTACTCCCACCATTGACACAAAAACACAGCATATCAATAAAGCTTTGACAATTTCTCCTCTACTTGAATCTAGCAAAGACAAGAAGGGTGGGTCTGAATTATTTTAAGCATGACATCAAATCGTGTCTTGAATAAAGCTGGAAATAAAGGCAAAAGGTGGAAAGTGGCATCTGACTTTGATTGCAATCAAAAGAGAGAGAGAGAACTGGTTTTGTGGGGTTGGGCCAGGGCAATAAGAGTTGGGGACTCTGATGACTTACAGGATATATAAATGGAAACAGGGGATCTGTGGCCTTTCCAGGGTTTTATGAAGGGGGATTTGTTTCAGGCTTGACGAGTGTGGTTGTGTCTGGTGGTTGTGTGTGGTATATTGCCGAAGCAAGTGAGATGGGCATTATGCAGAGTGCCTTGGATTGGAGGAGCTGCATAGCAGCCCCAACATTTTCTTCCATGAGTTTAGCCACCTGTTTCTCTGTGCCATCATTCGACCACTTCTCCCAGGCTGGTTGGGATCTTCCACCTTCACTGACTTCCTCCTTTACAAAAAAAAAAAAAAAACAGAGAGAGAGAGAGAATGCTTTAGAAAGAGAAAAAGAGTTATCAGGCAAAAAATTTAAATTCTTCTTTCTTACCTCCACTGATGATATTGGCATATCTGTCACAAGGGGTGCAACCGCACCAGCTCCACCAAGTCTACTCATGCTTAATACCTGAAACGGTGATGAATTGAACATAGAATATGAACAAGACATAACTCAGATATTAAAGAAAATAAAGTAAATAGTTTTGAGCATCACTCTTTCTCCAAGAAAGAGGGACCTCCTAAAGATGTCATCAAATACCCTCCATTGCATGGCAAAGACATTATTCCAAAAATTGATTATTTTAAACCTTTCTGGTACTCTTTATCACAGTGGTCTCCCTTGGGCAAAAACTGTAGTCCATTTCAAGGTCTATGATGAAGTGAAGTAGTAGTTCATGAGTCACAAAATCCAAGTACTAATAGTGCAGTTAAACATGGGATTTCCCACATTGGGCCTCAACATAAAACTTCAATGACGTATACCAGGGACCTAACAATTATGATTCTCGTTGAAAATAAAAACAGTAGAAAATAAATAATGGCCCCAAAGAAAAGAATCTCATCTGCAGTAATCATTAGACAATAATCAATAATCAAAATTGAACCCCGCCATTGATTCAATGGCTGTAAACAAAACGGAAATAGTGATTTAGAGAAAATAGGAGCAGCCTGAGATTAGAAAGGTGCGGCATCAATCAGGCAACTTGTAGGCTTTTTGTTTCTTTTGGGTTTATTTTCAATGGTACTCTGACGAGATGTGCAACTGTATAAATTGGGAAATAATGTTTATATGTAAAGAAACCAATATTTCTTTACGTCTAGATCATATATTGTCTACAAAACGACAAGAACCAGAAGATATAGATCCATCACGAACTTGAATTATAATTGAGTAGCCAGAAAATAGAATATTAAAACTCACAAAGAACATTAGGTTACTCTACCTTCACTTGAAGCCTCAGGAACTTCACATAGTCTACAATCTCATCAAGCATTGCAGCTCTATCACTCTGTATAAGAAAGAATATTATAGCATAGCCATCTGGGGGAAAAAAGCTATCTGAATATTGAGCTTCACATAAGAATAATAATAATAGTACTAAAGAATAACAAATTATTCAACATCCTTGATGGAATTAATAAGATTAGATTTGGAAACCCAAAAACATAATAATTTTATGATTACTGACAATGTATATGATAAAAAACAAGCACCGTCGTAATACCAAGTGCATCTTGTGTCAAATTATATGAGTGAGTAGGCACTGACCTTATTGACACTAGGAACCAGTTCTTGCAATGCCCTAATTCGTTCTGCTATTCTTTCTCTACGCAACTGTTCCACAAGAAGAAAACAAAGGGTGATGTGAATGTACGATAACAACTAGAGAAAAATAAAAAACATGCTGCAGAAGCACAAGTTTGCATAGTCCCAAGCTAGTATTTCAAAATATAAAATTACTTATTGTTCTAACATACAGCTACCAGAAAATGACATCCTAACATGCCCATATGTTTGGTGTTTAATAAAACAAAACAAGGAAACAAGTGTTTGTCCACAGGTTCCTTAAAAAATTTCAGTTGTTAAAAAAATGAACATCTTGACTTAAAACAGTGGGGAAGGTGGGACAACCCAAAGTACTGGCCTTATTTCTTTGTTCTAAAACCAATGATTCATTAGAAGACCTTCATAGATCAGGAAAAAAAAAAATTATCTAGTAACAAACCAATCAAAGATTTTCTTTCTTTCCCCTTTCTTTTTTTTTTTTTTTTTTTTTGAAATCCTATAAGCAATCTAATGACAACTCCCAATAAAGACCACCAATCATCTATTACACAAAAGATCTCCAAACCCATTTTTCCCATACGCTGTAAGGAGAGTCAAGGCTGTTGGTCACAGCTATACACAATTCTGTAGTTTGGATGTGGTTGAATAAGATACCAACAGTTGCATATACCCGACAAACTTTATATAATGTGTTTTCTAGGACACGTTAAGCCAAGCTTACTCGTTCAGCAATGCTGTGTGGATCCGTAGCCTGTCCTCGTCTTGCCCGCACCCTGGGACGCATTGCAGGCGGATGCGGCATTGCAGGTACTGGGCTAGGCATAGGCTGGCCATGAAAACCCTACAAAAAGATTGTGATTCAGCAATCAAAGATGATAGCTACTGTAAAAGGAGTGATGACTTGATCCAGGACAGAAAATAAAGATGCTAGTAATTTTATGGCTGGTAAGGGGTAACAGAGCAAAAGCAGACTCAACAAATGAACATGACATTGCAACAAGTAATACCTACATAAGTTTAAATACTTTGTTTAAGAAATGTGATCCTCCTTATTATTGTTCTGTAGTCTCTCCTTTAGAGTTGCAGTAGGCACATATGTCAAAGGCTAAAAAGCAGGGGACCAGCGAGTAAATTAAGCCATTTTGCCCTAGTTGACACCCTTCCTCTGATGGACGTATTTGGTCTCAGAATCATATAGGATTTGGTAACTTCAAGTGGTACCCAAAAATCATCCAATTAATACTATTGGCTGGTGTCTTTTGTATTCATTTACTTCTCTCAACTCATCTAATCAAACTTGCTGATAAGTCCACCTCTGACTCAAAATACAATACTGATTGCTGAAACAAAACAACAAATCTCTCTACCAGCACAAACATACACACCAATACCGACAATCCACATCTACATATGCCAGAGACAAGACCACTTTAACAAAAAGATTCCTATGCCCCTAACCGTGACCAAGAAAACAAAAGAACCCAAAAAGTCGACTACTATTTTTATCTTAATTAGCGCTTTTTTTTTTTTTTGAAGCTATGGGGTAAAGGGTGTATGTTAGGGGAAGCAATGAGTGAAGATTCCCCTGCAGAGAGCCGTATGAGGGGAGACCTTCACCCATCACAACTGAAATTCAAAGGTGAGAATTTCCCTCAGCAACCAAAGATATGTCTACAATTGGAAAAAAATAAAAAAACTCTCAGACACTTACCGGTTTCAAAGAAGAAACTCTGCTATCAACAACGTCGTCGCGAAATCTTTTCCCACTCCCAGAAGCCTCGTCCATCTTCACAAAGCCGCCTTTTCCTTGTTCCAAACTCAACCCTAAGGGAAACACTCCTCCATGAAACCCACCACCACTACCACCAACTCCAACGCCGCCAAGATGAGCCGAGCCGTCGCCGGAGCTCAGCTGGAGCATCATCGGAGCAGCAGTTCCCGCCAAATTAGTGTCGGAAGCAGCGTAAGATGGAAACCCCAAGATTTGTTCCAAGAAGTCGTCGGATGAGCCGTCCGTCTGATTGTTAGCCATGGCTGTAACTCGACCGAGTCGAACTCTTATGGATCGGTGAGTTAGGGTTTCCAAAGAGCATCGACAGGTGAAAATTCTAGTATTTTAAAAGAAAGGGAAAGCGAGTTGCGTATATATACGCAAATTCTATTCAGAGAGAGAGAGAGAGAGTTCTTTTGGTTAATTCTACTTTCAACTGCGTACTGAGAGCGAGGAAGAAAGAGAGGAGCGAATGGAGTCGAAAAGGCGAACTGGCTCTTTCTGCTTAAAAAGAGGATACGTTTTCGAAAAGTCCTGCTTTTTCTCAAACTTTACAAATCTATCCCTCTTTTATTTTAGAGTAATTTTTTATAAATTTAAAAATTAAATTTGATAATCACAATTATTATATAGCCAGTGAATCTTAATATTTATTGGGATCCATAATAAAATCGATGATTATAATTATCAAGTCTAATTTTTAAATCTACATAATATTACTCTTTATTTTAGGAAAAATTTAATCTATATTTCTCCAATTAGTTTATACTTTCAAATCAATAACACCATTTTAATGATACTCTCTTCGTTTCTAAATATCTTTTGTTTAAAGTTTTTGCACAGAGATTAAGGAAGCTATTAAATAGCTTTAATATGAGAAAAAAAATAATTACACAAAACTAAAATACTCTTATTTAATACGTATTAGGAAAGAAAAGAATATGAAAGACACTTAACTTTCACCTAATCTAATGCATTAAAAAGTTAAGGGTAAATTTAGAAGAAAAAATATTAATTATACTTTGGTTTCGTTAAACGACAAATATTATGGAACAAAAAAAATTGTGTAAAACGACAGATATTTAAGAACGGATAGAGTAAATTTTTTTCTCTACTAATAGATAAAATTATAATTTAACTAAATATTTTGTAAAAATGTCTACATTATCGTTTGTTATGTAAATAGCTAAAATGTCCTCATTACTTTCTCCATTATATATGTCCTAGTCAACCAACAAGCATGATTTTCTATTATTATATCATCCTAATAAATTTTTATCATTTTAAAACGTTGCAAGATAACGTTGTTGTAATATTAATTATCATATTATCACTCATTTGGTTGCATAAGCAAGTTTTTTTCATTTTTATGGTTAAAAATAATTTTTCTATAATAAAAATTATGATCGATAAAATTACTATCGAAATCTCATCTATTTCTAACTCTTTGCCATCATTTGTCGACTACAGCGTCACCCGACCACTCTTCAATCTTCACACATCAACCTTCATATATAAAATTTAAATATTAGTTGATAAAATTTAATATTAATTGAATAAATTTGGTCTTAATTTTATAAATTTATATATTAATTTATTGTTGATTTGATAAAATTTAATATTAATTGAATAAATTAGAATATTGTTTTGATGAAATTGAATGTTCATTTAGTGTTAAATTAAAGAAATAAAATTAATTTGATAAAATTAAATATTTAAATTAATAAAAAATAATATTCTATTTAATATATTAAATTTTAATTTAATAAAATTAAATGTTAATTTGATGTTGATTTAATGAAATTAAATAGTAATTTAGTATTAAATTAAATAAATAATATTAATTTGATGAAATGAAATATTAAATTAATATAATTAAATGCTAATTTGATAAAATTAAAGAACAATGGTACATGGACTCACAAAGTAGACTTGATAATTAGAATCATTGATTTTACTTTGGATCTCATCATTTATTGGAACGTATTACATATTCAATAGGTATGATTATCAAATCTACTACTTTTAAATGCATGTAACATTACTCAAAATTAAATATCAATCTTGTGTTAATTTGATGAGATAGAATGTTAATTTAGTTTAAATTAAATAAAGGACATTAATTTGATAAAATTTAAATTAATTAACATAAAGGCTAATATAATATAATTAAAAGGAATTGTATTGAAATTTCAGAATCGGAAAGAGTATTGTTCAAGTTAAGTTTATTTATAGGGGATGTTGTTAAAGTTAGGTTCATTTACAAAAGATGTAGATAAAATTTACCCTATAAAATATTCTTAAATATTTATGTAAATCAATTATTGTCGTTAATGCTTTAATCCGACAACCGCTAACAAGGGGTGACAATGAANATGCTTTAATCCGACAACCGCTAACAAGGGGTGACAATGAAATTTTAAAATCAAGAGAGAGTGTCATTGAATTTAAATTTAACAACAAGAGACGTGGATGAAATTTTGTCTTTATTTTATTTATTTTTTGTGCAAATTAAAGTAGAGTAATTGATAAATAAAAATGAGATAAAAAAAAATAAAGTTTAAATGATGTGACAATTAATGATGTAAGTAAATGTTGAATACTAAATGCATAAAAGTGAGATCAAAAAATCATTACTATAATATCAAATCAAATCATTTTATTTTGGATAAATTACACC